AAACTGGGAGAAAACAATACAGACTAGAAAAAAAATGACTCCACTGCTGTTTTATTATTTTTCTCTAGGCTCTATTTCTTTATTTCTGCTCTAACCTGTTTTTTCCTTACTTAGCTATTTTTAGACTTAGTGTCTTCAATTTTGTATGTGTGAGATTACTGAAGCTGTTTCTTTGTTTCTATTTATTATTATTATTACTATTATTGTGTATGTGTCTGTGTGTGTTTGTGTGTGATATGTATTGTGTGGACATATATACCACAGGATGTATGTGGATGTCAGAAATCTTTTCAGGAGCTGGTTCTTCTCTTCCACCATGGGACCCTGGACTAACACTCAGGACATCAGACTCGGGCAGCTAATGTTTTACCCTGCTGAACCATCCCACTAGCCCAAGACCTTTCTAAGGGAATGGCTTTTCTGGGAATCACAAATTGAACTTTTATATAACCTTGTAACCAAAGTAATCATTTAAAATTCTGTTTATCTACTCTGCGCTCAGCTTGTTTAACTAGCCTTTAAGACAAACAATGCAATCAATCTCTTTGAACTCTGAATAAAATTAACTCTTATAAGCTAATAGCTTTAAACTTATACCATGTTTCCTATTTCCCTTTCATGACTCATTTTTCCCCTAACATAAAACAATATACATGTGCACAGGATGTAGGAATTAGACCTAAGACCTAAGACTGAAGGTAGCAATGACAATGAAAACAATGTGTCCCTCACAAGAAATGTTGCACATACTATGTGAGCATAGATTGGTAACAGCTGTTTGTGGTTTTGTGTGCTGCTTTGCATCAGACTGGCCAGAAACATAAAATTTCCCTTTGTAAAACTTTGGTAAAAGATTCTTTAAGACAAAGTTCCTTTTTCCTTTCTGATAGCATGCTTGATATGCTATTCAATAAATATAAAGGATTCCCTTTGTTCCAGAGAATGGTTCCGACAGAAATCAGAGCACACAGTTCAGATAGGGTTCACTCTTGGTTAAACTAGTCCAGGAGTCACTCAGTAACGCAGTGCCATCCCATAGGCACTTACTGCTATAATTATCCCTTTTAGAGCTACTGCTCTTGTGGTCTATAAGCTTTGCTGTTTCTTTTTCCATTTGTATTGACATTAATCAGCTATTTAGGAATATGCTATCTAATTCCTATCTAGGTGAATTTTCTGGATGTCCTCCTATTGATTTCTACTTTAAGATCAAGTTGGTCAGAAAAGACGCTCAATGTGAGTTCAATCTTATATTTGTTAAGACTTGTTTCAGTACCTGAGTGCTTTTTTAATGTATCAGTTTTCAATCATGAGGCAATTAAAATATTATTTATTATTTTTATGCGTATGCGTGTATTGCCTGCATGTAGGTAAGTGCACTCGTGTCGTGCAGTGCCCGTGGAGGACAGAAGATGCTGTCAGATTCCCTGGAACCAGAGTTACAGACAGTTGTTAGGTGCCATGTGGGTAATGGGATTTGAACCTGGGTCTTCTGCAAGAGCAACCAGTGTTCTTAACCACTGAGCCATCTCTCCAGCCCCATGAGGCAAATTTTTATGATATGTGGCTGTTAAAGTTTATGAACAAAATGTGCATTTAGTTCCAGGACTAGAGCTTCTTCTTTACCCCTCCAGAAAGCCAAGTGTAGGGAACATGGAGTCCTCAGACATAAGACCACAGTGTCCTTGTTCACTGTCACTAGGATGCTGGATAAAACTCTTGCTTTCTATCTGCCACACTGTGAAGAAGAAAGGACTGACCTGTTCTAGCAGTACACTTTCTGTAAAATCTAAAGCCTTTGAGAGCACATTTTTCTCAAAAGAATAAGATTCTTTTCATAAGTAAAATTACACAATTACTAAACACATATAATAAAAATAAATATCAAATAAATTGATATATACTATGAAGTACGCCAAATAAAATTCCATTTACTCCTCTTTTCTGTCAAAAGCAAAATACTCTTCAATGTTTCCATCCACGTGATACACCTCTTCTTCCAGGGATGAACCTAATGGGTCAGCTATCTCTGTGCCATCAGGGCCTGGCAGGGCAGAGGTTTTGAGTGCCTCCAGGACTATCTGAGAACCAGAGACGCACAACCTAAAGAGAAAAAACAGATTCTACATGGGAGTCTGTAGAACATCAAACCTCCAATGCTTCAATGATAATGACTGACCTTTAAATCACCTACAACGTACAGGACCTCTAATTAAAATATCATCAAATATTACATTGAAGCTTGTATCTTCCAAAGCATTGTGTGTGTGTGTGTGTGTGTGTGTGTGTGTGTGTGCATGTGGAAGCCAGAAAACAACCTTGGTTCTTTTTCCTCAAGAACCGTCCACCTTGTATTTTGAGATAGGGTCTCTCATTGACCTGGAAACTTGCCAAGAAGGGCAGGTTGGCTGGCCAATGAGCTCCAACTGCCTGTTTCCACCTCCTCAGCAAAGGGGTTATAAGCATACACCATCATTTTAATCTAGGGATCATTTAAAATTTTAAGGGCTTCTTAAAAATCCCAAGCTATTGTATGTGGCTGCATTCTCTTTGCTATAGTGAAATGATGCCACAGCACAGTTCTACACATGTATGAGTGGTATAAAGAGATCAGAATGTGTTAGTGACTAAAAGAAACCAGGACAAAATGCTATTGCCGCTCATGCCTTGAGGTTTAGAATCCATCATAATGAGGCTGTATATGATTTACATGAGCTTACTTCTCATAGTCTTTGGAACACAAGTTGAAGATAACTCCATATGCATATGTGTTCATTACATATATGTTTTTCATAACATCCTTATAGACAAATCATCAATCTAGGATCAGAATCTTCTATGGAAAAACACTGTGCCTGTCCTTCACTGGAATCTCAATCTGCATGTGTAATAGTTGGAGCCAAGGCTCATGGAGGAGTTAAACAGGAAGGATAACTACAATGTAGCTTTAAAAAAATATATATATACACGGCTTTGTTTTTCTGAGACAAGGCCTTATATAACCCAGGCTGGCTTCAGACTTACAAAGCAGCAGAGGATTACCTAATCCTCCTGCCTCCACTTCCCTCCAGTTGGGAGAGGAAAGCAGGAGTATCAACCAGGCTGTGCTACAAATATGTATCTTGCAAGTAATATATGCACACTTACTCTCTGATGCTGCTGCTGTGGTCAGGGACATGAAATAAGGTCTTGTGGTTGGCAGAACCAGGCAGACGCCCCTGGAAGTGTTGGAATCCTTCATCGGTTGGTGGGATAAGCTGTCTTCCTAACACCCTGCCAGACGAAACAGTTAAGAAGCTAAGAATATTTTTTCATCAGGCAAAGGAAAATGTTTTGTGAATTTACAAATAGGATGAAACACTGATTCTGAAGGACAGGGAGGATGTGGTGGTGCAGAAGTACAAGAGAATCATCAGGGCATCAGAGGAAAAGTCCAGGTTTGGCTGGAGAGGGCAGGGTAGGAGTTTGGAGCAAGGAGTAAGAGGTTGAGCAGAGCTTCCCAGCTCCCTCAGCCACTGATGCCATTTGCTTATTTATGAGATGCAAATGAGAATCACAATTACCTTGCAGGACTGATGAATGCCTTAAAGAGAATGTTTGTCAGATCTGAGTGCCTAAGGCAGTGTGGGGCACAAAGGAACTCTCTACAGATTGCAATTTAATTTATACATCCTCATGAATGGAAATAACATGAACATATACACTTGGTTTATGTACCTCTGATCTTTTCTTTTTCTACCTTCCCTTCTTCGTTCTTAATCTTTAAAATGTAAGATAATGGTGACAGACACAAGTCTGAGCTCCTGACCTCTGATAAGTGTACCACCCCAGAAAAGCGCATGTCTAGAACTGCTACCCAGCTCACATAATATATTCCTTAAGGGTTTGAAAAGAATGTTTTAAAACTGCATAGTCAAGGCTTTTCTGTTGTTGCCGTTTTGAAGACAGGTTCTCACTGTGCAGTCTGGGGTGGCCTTCACCTCACAGTCTTCCTTCCAGCCTCAGCCTCCTGAAGACTGGGTTTACAGTAATTCACCTCCACACCTGACTGTGACATGTTTCTCATTTCCTTGTCAAGCTAACTAGAAAATTCTTGCACATTTATGTTTGTTCTAATTCATTCTCCTCAGGTCAGAACTTGAGAATACTAAAACGGACTTAAGGAAGTAAGCAGGCTGAGTGACTATATCCTCTATCTTGGATATAAAAAGTAATAGTCTATGTGGAGAAAAGTAGGGAGATAGAAAAGTTCATCTACCCAGTCATTCAGCAAATAGTGACTCTGCCCACTGAGGCCCCTCCTGTTCACAGAGGTTGACAGAGGCCTGCCACTCACATGGAGCGAATATGAAGATAAAAGGTCACTTCTCAGATTCTTACATCTGCCATGTATATGACAGCTTCCTGAGAAGGACCCAGATCTGCTCTGACAAATTAAAAGGCCTCTGAGCATTGGCACATGTGTTTCCTCTAGAGCTGCTATTAAGGGTGTGACTTAGCAGTAAAGCACTGTGTTCTGGATACACATTCTGACAGGGTCTGAGTTCCCAGTCACAATGTACTGCTTGATTAAATCCAAACCAGGTGCGCCTATTCCAAAAGTCCATCCCAGAAGATTTCCATGGGCCCATTCTGTACCTGAGATGGAGGGATCTTTTTGCCCATTCACTACATTCGGCCAGAAGATTCTGGGTCTGAGGAGTTATTTTCCCTTCAAATAGCATTTCCTCAACCTCCCAAAACAGCTGCTGAACTCTCTGAGCATTGGCTTTGTCAAATTCCTGAAAGAAGAGTGCACATTCAGATACCCTACAAAAACTACAGAAATGTGCATTTTACAATCAATGTTTATAGTTATAGAAATACAGACTTCACAATCATTGTTTATGAATTAAAGAAAATCACAATATAGGAGGGAGTAAACCAAGGTAAAACTGTAGCTTTGGAATCAGAAACACCAGTGTACCAGTTTTTACTTTTCTGATGAATGACATACTGTCTCACATTCATTAACTGTTAAATCAAGAAAAAATTTACACTATCAGTTGTGAGATTTGAGATTCCACATATAGATACACATATTGACACAGTCATTATTGGATGTATAGATTACATATCCATGTACATACATACACACATACACAAACATGTGCACGTGCACGCACACACACTGTGCAGACACATGTCCTCCATACAGTTAAGCCAAAGTATCTAATCACACCTGCAAAAAGCAAGCTATTTTTATTCACCTTATGATGACACCAGGGAGGAAAGAAATCACTTTTGTAGGAAAAGGGCTACTGACTTTCAATCAATGAAGCAGAAAAATAAAATCTCTGTAGTTATCCTAAGAGGTATGGCTATTAGGGTGAGGCCACACTATTAATTTTTCTGTCTAGCTCTTGCAGGTTCTTGCTTTGTAGCTGTGGTAAACTGTTCATGAGAAAGACTTTTAGCCTGTCCAGATGGCTTCTGTTAGGAAGTGACAGTGCAATAAGCTAATAAAGGAACATAAAAATCATTAACATAAACATTACTCTAAGAGAACTAACCTGCACAGGCAGGCTCCGGGGTGTGAGCCCAGGCCAGGTCTTCTAGGAACACGTGACTAAAACCTAGCCCACAACTCAAAGCAGTAAAATTCAGTTGGACATCACTGACCCAGAGTAGTCAATTCTGATTGAATCTCATAGCTTGGTACTCCTTATTTTGTACTAATTTTTCTCTTAAATTGATAATAAAATAGATTCCCTGATTATAGGGGTGTTGAATTACTGCTTTTAAAATGTAACTAAGGCTGGGCGTGGTGGCGCGCACCTTTAATCCCAGCACTCGGAAGGCAGAGGCAGGTGGATCTCTGTGAGTTCAAGGCCAGCCTGGTCTACATAGTGAGTTCCAGGACAGCTGGGGCTACAGGGAGACCCTGTCTCAAAAAGACCAAAAAATAAAAAAGTAACTAAGGAGGCTGGAGGGATGGCTCAATGGTTAACAGCTCTTGCTGTTCATGCAGAGGACCTGAGTTTGGTTCCCAGCACCCAGAGCTTATAACCACCCCTAACTCCAGTTTCAGGGAATCTAGCACCCTTTTTCTGGCTTCCGTATGTACCAGGCACCTAGTGGACACACATACGAGCAGGCAAAACACTCATACATATAATTGTTTTTATGTGTATGAGTTTATTGCCTGCATGCATGTGAGCGTACCCGTGTTGAGCAATGCCACAGAGGTCAGAAGAGGGCTTCAGATTCCCCAAAACTGGAGTTAAGGATGGTTCGTAGCCATCATGTGGGTGCTGGGAATCGAACCTGGATCCTCTGCAAGAGCAGTCAGTGCTCTTAACCACTGAGCCATCTCTCTAGCCCCACATATAAATTTTTTTAGATTAAAAAAAGAATATGAAAATAAAAATCAGTATAAAAATCTAAGTAAAGAGAAAGCAAATTGTATTTGTCTACTTGGCAAGATTTTGTGGTCGGGCACGGGCTTGTTTCTCTGTTCTGCATCTTGTTACTTTTACAAATATTTCCTGTCAAAAAGTAAATCAAAAAATTTAATTAAAATAAAAAATCACTTTAAAATCTGGTATAATTTAAATTCTGTAAATGCAAATCTTAGGAATCTCTTTGGCTAATCCCATGAAAATCTGTAGTGAAATAATCCCTGACATTGAACAGAATGAATACATAGAAAGCTCTTGGACTCCTTCCCAGGGTCACGGCACATGAGGGGAAATGGTGCATGTGGGGCGGAAGGGAGAGGTTCAGGCAATGAACAAGCATGAGCAGAACACTGATGACTTTAAGGACTCACATGTTGCTTCCAGTATCCCCTGAGTGAGGCTGAGCTGACTCCTGTCCAGACCCCTCCCTTGCCTTTCCACTGCCCAATCCTTTGAGAACCAATGCAGTAGCTAAAAATCTCACCTAGCTAAGACTCCCATAGGCACAAAGACCCAGAGTAGGGCTAAAGTTAATGATTTCTCTTGGGTTAGGAGATGAAAGTAAAATGTGTGGTTTAGAGTATTGAGGGGAAATGCTCTAATCATGGAGATGATTCACAGTTTTCACTTTTTCAAAATTGTTCTCTTACTTTAGCTCTTTTTAAAAATTTTGATTTATTATTTTTATTTTATGTGTATGCACATATTGCCTACATGTAGGTAAGTGCACCCGTGTCGTGCAATGCCCGCAGAGGTCAGGAGAGGCTGTCGGATCCCCTGGGACTGGAGTTACGGACAGTTGTTAGCTGCCATGTGGGTGCTGGGATTTGAACCTGGGTCTTCTGCAGGAACAACCACTGTTCTTAACTGCTGAGCCATCTCTCCAGCTCCCACTTACTTTAGTTCTTAATGTCAAGGCTTTGTCCTGAATTTCTCTAGCTGCAGAATAACATATAACATGATGGCAAGGCAACATTGCAGGGTAGGGAAAAAATGGTCAACAGCTAAGACTCAGGGCTATGAGATCATCAGTGATTTTAATTTTTCTCTATATCTTAGTATTTTGATATTTTTACATGTTACACCAAAAATACATTATATATATTTAGTAATGTTTAGATAAAGGGGAAATTTTTTTAACATAAGAAAGCAATTCTTAGGGATGGAGATATGGCTCAGTGTATCAGATGCCTGTGGTATAAGCATAGAGACCTGAGCTTGGACCCACATGAAAGCCAGATGTGGGGTGACCACCTGTGATTTCAGTACTGGAGGACAGAGACAGCCAGATTCCTGGGGTAGCTCCAGGTTCAGTGAGATACCCTGTCTCAGAAAATAAGGTGGAAAGTGACTGAGGAAGATATTTGAAGTTGACATGAGCATGCACAAGTGAGCACATCACTTTCCCCGCCACTTTCACCGCCCCCCCACGCACAGATACACAAGTACACACACGATATACCAATATGAAAGTAAATGAACAGAAAGCAGTTCATCATAAATGATAATAATAAGAAACTATCAAGTGACATACATCATCTCTCCAAGAAGAAACTGAGCTCCTCTCTGTGGACAAGCCGGTGGTGGAGCTCTGCGTGGAAGACTCAGGCCATGAACTGTGAGCCTCAGTGGGCGTTTGGCTCCCGTTAGATGGAAAGGACAACAGGGATTCACTGCAGGAACGAACACGGGCAACAGATAAAATGTTTGCTGGGAAGAGCTGATATTGCAAGTCAAACACTGGCTTGACGCCTCTAGGTCCACTTCCTCTTTCTTTAAGTGTATTTGTTAAGGTCAGCACACTGATTTAAGAGTATTTTTGTGATGTGATCATGTTTAGTTGGCTAAAAACAAAACCCCTTTTAGATTTTTGTTGATTTTTTTCTCATATTTATTATGCACATTTTTTTGCTTTAGTCATTAGCAATCTTTAAAAGATTCTTACCATGCATATTTATCAATGGCTTTCTGTACATTTCTTGTAAAATTTGTAGGTAGAGGGTCTTTGTTTTTCACAGGAGAACTGTGCTTTCTAAGTCCTTCTGAAAGTCCTCTTCTGAAAAATAAAGTAAAACATGAAAAGCCTCCACTGTAATCACACAGCTTCATTCTCTGAAACATAAACTCGCTTCTGTATAGCACTGCTCCTCGTCTCTTGCTGCGTTCCCTGAATGTCATGCACAAACACACTCCACAGTCTTAAGAAACTGAGCCCAGAAACATGCCATTTTAACTTTTCTTAAAATCAGGGTTGTCAGTAATCTCCATAAATATTTATGAGAACTGAAAAAACAGTAACAGTTGTTTGTGGCAAAGACTGAGAAGCCAAAGTTTCCCAAAGTATACAATATTTCTGGTACGGTTCCTCCCTACGGCCTAAGGCTTGGCAAGTGAGCACAGGCTGCACTCACATTGTCCCGTAAGCAACCTTAACCAAGTCCCTTTGTACTTGCAAAACCCAACATCATGCCAATAAATGAACATCAATCCCAGAGTAATTCTGAAATACATCATATTCTTTTGAACCACTTAGAAGCTGCTTAGACATCTAATTTTACTATTGTTGTCTAATGTGAGTTCCAGAGGGTTTTAAAATAATAAAATTTGATGGAGAAATCAAAGAAACATCTAAATTTTAAGTAAACTATTAAACCTGTGTGGCATACTTCATGTTAATCATTAAAATGCCCTTTCAACGAACCTTCTAAAACAGTCCCTCCCCTCATAAAGATATCTTCCCAGGCCTAATAGTACACCACTTCTGTTTATTAGTATTCATATGTTCTCAACAAATAAAACACATATAAACTTAAGGCGTGAAAATGAATTGGGGGGGGAACCTTCAACTTTCAATATTTCTAACAAAACACTACTTGGTATGTTTAAAAATAAAGCCTGTTTTGCTTTTAATTAAAATAGCACTTAACGTCAACATGTGTATTTTTAATATAAATGGAATATATTCTGCCCTTCATATTTACAGTACTCTACCACGAAGGGAAACTAGAACCTCCACCTTCCGTGGGTATGCTTTACGCAGCAGAGAACAGCAGTTAAAGTTTTTCCTTTTCGTTACTACCTATGTCATAAGTACAGCTCAATAATTTTGAAGATCAAGGTGTTCAACAGAAGCAGAGGAAAGAAAGAGTACAGAATAGTACAATCTGTGGGCCGTTTCTTCCTCTCTGGTTGGTGGTGCAGGGGACAGAGCCCAGAGAGTCATGCACACTGGCAAGTGCTCAGTCGTTGAACTACAGTTTTGCTTTTATGCTAATAAACTTTTTAGCCCTGTTCAGGGGGCTTGTTGCTGCTGTTGTCTGAGTCATCATTTTTAATATATTATTTATTATTTTTATTTTATGTGTATGTGTGTTGCCTGCATGTATGTAAGTGCACCCTTGTGCAATGCCTGCTGTGGTCAGAAGAGGGTATGGATTCCCTGCAACTGGAGTTACAGAAGGTTGTTAGTTTTATGAGTTACGTTGTGATTCAACCTTTGGGTAATTGTAGGAATACTTATGAGCTAGTGACCAAAAAATCTTCTAAAACTTTCATCAAATAGATCTGTTTAGAACATTAATTGGTATAAACTTAGATGTGAGTTAACATGTTATCCAGAAACAGTTTTAAAACTTCAGTATGATAGATTAACTTAAATATTGTTCCCTCATCCTACCTTAACAGTGGATAAGATTTGCTCTCTGCTGACATTTAGTAAGTTACTTCTCTCCAGTATTTAATTAACATCCACATCTGCAAACTATGACAATACACTGGTCTTCCCTTCCCTTACCCTGGGACAACTGATTCCAAGACCCAGTGGAGGTGACTGACCAGCACGCTCTCCAGGGGCCACAAGGTTCTAACACTGTGAACTTAAAACACAGCCTGGAAAATGGCTTGTTTTTTCATATATGTTTCATTCCTTAGGTTCCTCCATTCTCTACCAAAGCACCACTCTCTTATTTTGTAACACTGAACATCCTCAGTCCTTGTGAACTATCAGCTCCTATGTTTTTATCCAGCATAAGAAAGTGTGCCAACTTTAAAGAATGCGTCCTATCCTGTGAGTACTGTAAAACTTAAATCGGGTGCAATGTCTGTTAAGGTTATATTACCTAATACATAGATGAATGACAGTTTTATGGTAGTTATTTCCTGTTGCTTAAACTTTAGAGATGGGAAAATTTTGTTTGTGGGCAGATTTGAGGCCAAGATGTAGGTTCCCTTAGGGTGGGCTCAATGGAACCATAATGTACTAATTTGTTGGCACATCAAAGTTAGGGCTGAGTACCAATCTCTGTGAGCTACTACAGAGGCCGGGCACTCTTTCTTTTTCTTTTTTTTTTTCTTTTTTTTTCCAGGCTTCTTGATAGCCTGCAAACCTCTGCCACACTGCCCTGTGCAAATTCAAATGCCCAACTCACTTGCAAAACACAGTACCTCTGTGTGAAGACTTATTTGAAACAGATACTGTCTCTAGATTAAAAGGCGGGATTTTGAAGTCTTTTCTTGCTTGCTTGCTTTTTGCCATGGTGGATACTGGGCCCAGGGCCTAGTGCATGCTAGGCAAGTGCTCTACCACTGAACTACATCCCCAGCCAGGATCTGTTTTCAGACTGGGTGGGAAACACAAGCAAGGCCACTCCAGGGTGGCCCCCAGGAAGCTGCTCTTCTGACAGAAACACTTTGCCCTCTTGCCCTCCCTTAAGCCCAGGAAGTTTAGGAAGGAACCTTGGCTCAAGGACCAGTGAAGAAGCCTCCAGAGATGCAGTAAATACTTAAAGGAGCAACGTCACTTGGGAAGACCAGCTGATGTCCGCACTCCAAGCCTTCATGAATGAATATAGCAAAGCACATACTAGATGGATTCCTCCCACGCAGGCTGGAAAAAAATCTCCCACGTCGCAGGAAGCAGGACGGGACCCAGAACTCACTCACCTCCTCCGGGCAGCAATGAACTTACCCGATCACAATCAGCCCCAGGCTCTGGTTCGAGTCACCCAGCCAGGACCCCGCGTCCGGAGGCCTGGGCGCAGCGGTGCGGTGGCTCCCCGCTCGGGCCCCACGCCGGAGGCGGGGGGTCGCACCCCGACCCCCTGGGGCCTCGGCTCCGCGCCCGCCCAGCCCTGCGCCCCGAGCCGCGCTAGCCCCGCCGGTGCAGCCAGGCAGCGCCCGGGGCCCGACAGCCTGCGGCGGCGCTCGCCCCTCGGCCTGCACGGCCCATGGGTGTGGGGGCTCGCGGGGCGCTGGGCGCTGCTTCCCGCGCCAGATCCTGGAGCCCCGCAGAGGCTGGATTCCGCAGCGAAGCCTCCAGGCCCTCCGATCCCTCCGTCCTCCAGCCACCGCCGGACAGGGATCCCCGCAGTCGTGGTCAGCACTCCCCGCCCCCTTCGGTCTGCTCCGGCCCGGATCTCCGGAAAAGCTTCCAATTGCGTCTTCTCCAGATCACAGGCCAGGTTTCTTTACCCAGGAACTGGAGCTCCCTGGGTCACTCCACAGCCCACTCGGATCTGGCTTTCCCGTCCCTCTCTGTTTCCAGTGTTGCGTTTCCGAAATGGCATTTCGATTACTAAGAGAATGGTAGAGATCTATACAGGATTTCACCTCCCTTCTCCCCCTTTAGGGGATGCAGGATTTTGGGGGGAGGGGGTAAGTGAGGTAAAAATAACCAAACCCCAGATCTGATAAATGCAAGATCCACTATTCGATTAATTGGAGCTTTAGGTCTAACCATAAACAAGTTAATATCATTTCACGCCCAGTCCTTCTGCAAATAAATGCTTAATGTCACTCAGCCCAATCATTAAACGAAAGCATGGTCGCTGTTTGGTCCACCAGTTCATTAATGAGGCGTTTGTTTGTTTGCTTGCTTCCCTGTTTACTTGCTCATTTGTTATGCCATGGGATTTCACTCTGTAGCCCAGGTTGGCCAAGATCTCACTATGTAGCCAGGTCGGGCTAGAATTCTAACTAGCACCAATCCCTCTGCTTCAGTCTCCAGAGTCATCACTGGATTAGAGTGTGAGCCACTGCATTTGGCCTCACCGGCATGTTTCAATCTAGAGTCGCACAGTGTAGAGTCCCACAGCTACACCAGGACCAGAGTCTCTGGACTCTACAGTGTGTATCAGAGAAATTACCAAGTCATCATTTTCATAGGCCAGATGAACAGCAGTGAAGAGGCCCAGGTAAAACACATTCCCAAGCCCAAGGGTAGACATAGATTTTTAGTAATTACAATTATTAAAGCTAGTGGCGGCAAATTTCCCAGCTTTGTTCAGCCCAACCCATTTATTCACCCTTGAGATCTGAGCATCTATGTTTGAACAGGTATAGAGAGCCCACCTATCACCCCCTTCAGTACCCTGCAGTTAGCGATAAACCACGCCCATTTGGAAAAACCCATTTTATTCATTTTGATTTGATAACATCATTATAATATAAAAGCACTCTGACAGCAAAAAAAAAAAAAAAAAA